GGAAGGAAGGAAGGAAGGAAGGAAGGAAGGAAGGAAGGAAGGAAGGAAGGAAGACAAATTTCAGTTGGTAAGTATCTCAATAAGGAATTTCATACAAAAAAACAAAACAGCATTTTGACCAAAGCATTAATGACACTAAAGAGCTTCACGCCTATCTTACAAAGCGAAGTGCAAAGAAATAGAATGTCATCTCATATAGTATTGGTGTTAGGATGAATATTAGTATTTTATAATTTGAAAAACCTGAAACTAAGTTTCTGCAGAGATGCTCATGAGGGGGCTTTAAGTAAATAGAAATTAAGAAAATATGTATCCTCACAGTGATAGTCATAAAATAGTAGCTATAGCCCTGTCTTGATGGACACTGGTTAATTATTGATCCTACTCTTAATTAAGTTGGTTACCACTGTATTCTTGATTTAATCACTCACATTTATAGCTGTTGCAACCAAATTGCAATATAGGTTCTTCCCACTGCCTATCTTAAAATGAAGACCAAGCAGATGAGAATAAAGGGAAGCAATTGCAAGAGGGAAAAAGACCTAATATTGTCCACAAAACTGGGGCAGGGGCGAGTTGGGAAGAGCAAGGCCAAATACAAATTTAAAAAAAAATGAAAATACAGCTACACTTCTGAAAAACCATTAACATTTTTTACACGTGCATCATTAAGCCCATTTCCATTACTAAAGATAACCTTTTGTATTTCCTTGATGTTATTAAATTCCTTGGGTCTGCTATCTTAGAGGAAAGCATGTTTCCCTGTTGTATAAAAGAAAAGCTGAATTGAATGAGGCTGATGAAAAATTTAAGGTAGCTGCCAAACACTTTCGGAATCTTCACAAATAGCTTGTATATCAATACTATGTGTTTGTTTTGATGTATCCCTAATAAAATAATCATCTTTTTAGACTCCTTTTTTAAAGAACCAAGATATTCCTCTTAACATCTTCTAAAAGTACAATCTAATTTTATATCTATCCATCCATACACACTCACACACTCACCTACACAGAAGTTTTAAAGACTCTTTTGTCTTTCATGCCCAGTCCTGTTGAGTCTATCTTAAGGGAATAACTCCTGAACATTCTCTCTTGTCTTTACCTCCCAGGCTTTGGAGTGGCATTCCTCACACGTCTCACTTGGACTGTGATAAGTCTCCCTAACTCCCTGTCACCCCCTCTACTGGATCCATGACCACCCCCGTAACTCACTACATCATGCAGCGGATCATGACATGCCTTTGCTGAAAATCTTGCAGTATCCTCCCCAACACCAGAATAGAGCCCAAATGCCACCACCGGGCCATTTTCCCCTATGTGATCTGGCCCCGATCTACCTTCCCAGCTTCAACTCCCAGAGCCCCCTTCCACCCCCCACTTCATCCCAATTCAGATCCAACAATGACAAACCACTTGTGGTTCCCTGAATGTGCTTCTGTGCCTTCACACAGGCTAATTCCTCTGTCTAAAATGCCATTCCCTGTCTCACCAACACCGTCAACTCCCCCTTCCCCTTTGAGACCCCCAGCAGTTATCATCTCCCCTGTAAAGAATTTCCCTTACTCTCTGAGTGTCACCAACCTCTGCAAAATAAATCACTCCCTGCTCCGAGTTATAACTGTACCTTCTGCCTATCTTTATTGTCATCTTTTTCATATATATTACTACCTATCCTGCATTATCACGTTTTAAACTTGCTTATTCCTCCTAAACAACCAAGTTTCCTTAAGGACGGGGATAAGGTTCTATATTCTTGGGAATGAATGTGGTCTGCTACTTAGGAGGCAAGCAGATATGGAGAGAATGAGTAAATAGAAATCATTAAATATATAAAGCTAATTAAAATCATAGTATAAAACTGTATATAAAACCCCCAGGTGTCTGAGTTGAAGAACTGGAAACAGGTTGAGAGACAAGAGCAAAAGCCAAAACAATTTTACCGGAAGCCACTGGGATGGTACAGCCCGAGGCCTTCAGCGCTTTAACCGCATCACACACCCGCGCGGGGTAGACACAAACAGCAGCAGTCGTAAGGCCTGTGACGAAAGAAATCGTAACAGCCTGCTTTATGGGAAGTTCACCTTGAACAATAGGCTTTTAATTATTTACACCACCACCCTGGCAGAAATCAAAATGAGAGGAGAAATAATTCCCCTGTGACGCTGCACTGAATGAAAAAGTTTTGACTCCCTAACATTCCCTTCCAGTTCTTGACAATAGGGATCTTTTTCTCCTTGTTCAAGACACGGAATAAAATAACTGTGATGCACTGGTCTTGGAGGTCAATATAATGCCACTTTTTAAAGATTCCTAAGCAGTAAACTTAATGGTCTTGACTCAATGAGAATATTGTATTTCATGTAGGTAACAAAATCCAGATTTGTACAGCTAACAGACAGTTGATGAAAAAAGTGGATGAGAACCTGAGAGGGTAGTATAGCAAAATGACATTTAACTGATCCTATTCCCTCTCTTGCAAGAAATAATACAATCTGGATCTGGAGCCCTCACTTGGAGGAATAAGCTCTTAAATTTAAAAAAATCAAATAAAAATCAAACAGCCACTATAAAACAAAGCAAGAACATAGACTTCTATAAAGTTGCTACTTTCAACAATTTTGTATAACAATGCCTATACATAGGTGGTGTTTTTATTGTCAACCCAAAAGACACATAATAAATATTTTTCAAAAGCTGTGGAGTTGTTTAGGTCTATAAATTATCTTCAAATTATTTGGGATAAAATACCTGCATTGGGCCAATGCAACATCTCCAGTTGCATATTCATTACCGACAGGCACTCGGGAATCATGAAGCATCCCTCCATCGAAAGATGTGGCTCCTAAAATCAGCCCAGTGAGTACCAGGACACATGGTCTTGGAAACACCCTTTAGCCTTCCAGACCTTGGTTTCCTCGTTTAGAAATAGGGGATCAACTCTCAAAGGTCTCCTCCATTCCTAAGATGTTAAGATTCTAAACTTATGGCAACTTTAGAAAGTCCTTTCTTTCAAGTATACTAAGAGAGTGAATATAACTTTTTTTCAAAAGATTTAACCTAATATACGAGCACGCAATATTCCCCATTTGCATTTTATTCTCAAAAGTATTTCATTTACTCACAGAAAATACTTTATGTATGAGATGTGATTATTAAGTAATGAGACTGGCTTTTGCACATGTGGCTAGGGAATGAGAATCAGTATTTTAGAGTCACTAGATAGAAAATTTCCCACACTGAAGAACTGGAAAGAAAAATAAAGAAACTCTCTACCAGAAACTTTAATCCAGGATGGAAAGAACTGACCTAAAAATGAGACTCAGATTCTCTCCCTGCTGTTTTTCAGAGAAGAATCCCAATTATTTGTCTATGTACACAATTCTACCGTGGATTTTATTGCTGTTATCATTTTAGCAACTGAATCTTCTCAAATCCTCTTAGATTTAGTGATTAGTACCATAAAGAGGTAAACACAGACAGATTATACACAATGATTTTACCTTTATCATGCATATTTAAACTTTTTAAGAGATCTTCCCGGATTGGATACTTGGCTTTATAACAGAGCCTTTGAATGTTGGAAGATGTGTCATCGCCTGAAAGTGTAGTAAGATCTATAAAGGTAACGGCTTTCAGGAGCCAAGCAGCCTGGTTTAAAGAAAGTAAAAACAAGATTAAAAAAAAATTCATCTCCAACCCAGTTAGTTAGTAGAAAATCATTAGACAAACGTGGGTGCTAATTTCTGACGTCTACACTGTTCTAAGGCATGTCCTTCTCACATGTGATACAAACATTGCTCAAGAGTGACCAACAAGATGAACACTGCATAGAACAAAATAAAAGAGGGATACAGAGTAGCCTTAAAAATTAATATTCCCAGGTGCCTGGGTGGTGCAGTCAGTTAAGCGTCCAACTCTTGATTTCCGCTCAGGTCATGATCTCAGGGTTGTGAGACTGAGCCCCGCATTGGGCTCTGGGCTCAGCACGGAGTCTGCTTGAGATTCTCCCTCTCTTCTCCCTGCCCCCCCCCAATGTATGCTCTCTTCCCCCTCCAAATAAATAGAATCTTTAAAAAAAAAATTATTTTTCCTTCCATAGCTATCCCAAAGTGAAATCCCTAATAGATCAAGCCTCTCCACACCAGACCTCTCCATCTCCTCCACTAGGGACCCCTGATGGCTACCATATGACAGAACCTGGGAAAAAGAGGGTCTCTATCTGATATTTTACCTCCAGCCTTGGGATCTGGGATGAGACTCTTCAAAGAAGAGTCTCTAATTTTGTTGTTGTTGTTGTTCCCTTTAATCCAATTCCATTTCTAAAACAATATTCATAGTTCATAACTCATTCTAATGAATTTCCTTTTATCTTTCAATTGGAATATTTCCAAGGATGAACAAAATGTAAAATGTCACCCTAAAGGATTCAATCACACTATTTTGCCTCACTTGTGAAATGAACTCTGAATTCCTTTTAGTCCTGTGATGCATAGCACATCTTTGGTCAGTATACACTGAAGGCTATGCTGACCACAAGTACCCTATGAAACATCACTTTTTGAGTTTTGGGAAATGATTTATGAAAATTAATAGTAAGGTAAACACAATGGTCAAAGGAGGTCAACTCTTATGCCTAAGTGCCTCAACAGCAGACACACCAGGTTTAGATGTTATGGTTTAAAAATTAAAATAGAAGACAACCAAAGAAGGTATGTCTAAGGAACTGAATAAATGTGTTGAGGAAATATGCCATTTAATTCACTCATGAATAAAGATGCCTCAAATTCATTTGCGGCTTTGCCACTCAAGAGTGGTATGATTTTTAACTTGTTTGGATAAATGTGTTATCTTTCTCCAACCCATCATCATCATATATGAATTATTAAAATAAGTCATGGACAGCTGCAATCTTTTAAGTTTAGATGCTTCTTGAGTGAAATTCAATACTGTGGCCTTGAGGGAAGAGACCAGGCATTGTAAACTACAGGAACAGAATGCTCAAGAAGAACCTTACTTGCCACTCCTTTTTCACGGTTCTGCGAGCCTGGATTTGTTCTGCACGCCTCAGAACTGCTGGTTGATTCACTTGTATTTTGGAGATCCAGCTA